ACGTGTGCACATGCTGGGGAGCAGGTGTTCCTAGCCGCCCCACACAGGCCGGGCATTTCAGACACTCTAAGCCAGGCTTTGCTAAGTGAGTGTGTGAGGCGGGAGATGGTTTTCCCTAGGCCAGCATGGACACGGGGCATTCAGTTAAGGAATAAATAGCCGTAGGAGAAAGGAGTGGGGATCGTTTCTGCTGCATGCAAGGCAGTTAACCTCTCACTGCGGGCGCTTCCATGAAATAAAAATGCCCAGCCTTCCTGCCCCTGGGGCTGGTGTCCTGTTCCCCCTGGCTTCGCTGAGAGATTTCCAATGAGCTGAGGCGGAAGGCAGAATCCGGGGAAGATGCCTCCTGTCTCCACTGGCGCCTGGGAGGGAACCCTGCCTGTCAGACCTTGTGTGCACTTGGAGCCCCAGTGGGTGCCGGGCATTGGAGTGGTCTTCTAAATGGAAGGTGCCCCTCCCTGCAAGTAGCTGATGACAGGAGCGGAGGCACAGTTGGGAAATGGGAGACCAAGGGGAATTTCCCATGGGAAGTTATCATCATCCATGAAACAGTTAATAGAGAACAAGTGAGGCCGAAAGAAAGCTTCCAGTGGACTGTTGGGCTTGGTAACTTCAGGAATTCAGGGTTAGCACACACGTTCATTATTTAGGATCATTTGAACACACAGGAAAATAACATATAAAGAAAAACCCAGGGCCGTGGATCAAACCCACCTGGAGCTAGGCCGTCCGCCCCGTTGAAGGGGACAGCTCTGGAGACCCCCCCCAGGGGCAGCTGCACTCTGTCCCTCAGAGCCCTGTGCACCGGAGCCGACTCAACAGTGAGCGTCGTTCTGGAGTGTGTTCCAAACACCACCAAGAAACGGTGTGGAGCTGTGTGTTCCCCTCCGAGGCTGTTTCTAGGAATAATGTCTGCCCCTTACACAGGCTCGGCCTTCCTCCTGACACGCTGGATGGGAGGAGCCCGAGTCTCCACCAGGCGGGATGGCTGAAGGATGGACACACACACACACACACACACACACACACACACACACCTCACACACACCACACACGGGGACACACACACACACACACACACCACACCACACACACACTGTCCTTGCCAGGAAAAGCGGAGTCGAGTTTCGGGAAAGGGGGGCTTCGCCCCTGTGAGCACACTGCAAACTTGCAGGTGTTGTCCAGGCCGTAAACCAGCGTGTCTTGAGTCCCCGTGCCTGCTGACCGACGGGGGTGCCTGTGTCAAGGAGGAGAGACAGGCCTGGGCCACCCTCCTCCTGAGTGGCCGTGGATTGCACGCTCTCGCCGTGTGTCGGGAAGGGACACCAGTAGAGATTCACCGCCCCACCCACCACCTTTCCACTCTCACTGCTGTGTACTGAAGCGGGAGGAGCACGGGCGGACAAGAGCCCCGGTCTCTCGGTGACTTTGTGGATTTGCACTTGGATTAACCGTGAGTGCCCCATTCTGCTGTGGCTCCCTGCTCCGTTGGCCGCAGGGCCGTGTGTTTGGTGACGGGCAAGTGGGCTTCTTGCCCTTTAGCAGGTCAGCTACATCCGGCCCTCACTTCGCAGCCACGGTGGTGTCCATCCGTTGTCTCATGGACATCCGCCACAGCACACAACGGGATGGCCCCTGCTGCACTTGGCATTCCCTGGTGCCGTGTCCAGAGGAAGCGGGCCGTCCTCCTTCCCGAGGGGAAGGCCTGGACAAGGCCAGGCCAGGCTCCGTGTTCTTCCCAGCACCCATCTGGGAGCATCCATCTTCCCGTCTTCCTTTGTCACCGTCCGGCTGCTCGCATGCACACGGGGTGACTGAGAGCCCTGGGCGCGGTCAGACCCACTGTCGGCATCAACACAGCATCGCTAAACTTACTTGAAGGAGCCTTGGTGGCAGAGGGGTTGAGCACTGGGCTACTAACCGCAAGGTCAGCAGTTTGAGCCCACGAGCAGTTTAGTGGGAGAAAGAGGAGGCTGTCTGGAAAGGCTGGCAGTCTTGGACGCCCAAAGGTGCCCTCCGCTGTCCGCCCGGCGGGGCCACTGGGAGTGGGTGACTCCGTGGCATTGGGCTTGGTTTCTGGTTCTCAGCCGACTTCAGAGGAGGCAGCCTCGCATCAGCAGTGACGGCTGCCCTGAGGTTTCCGGAGACCAGGAATGTTCCAGAGTGTGGCAGTGCCCTGGGGCAAGCAGGCGTCTGGGGTCCCCCCGTAGTAGTGTGGTAGTGTCCTTGTTGGTCACATCTCCCTCACAGAGTGGACTGACGAGGGGGCCTCCTTCCCCATGTGGACAATGGTCATGTCCCTGTGCCCCTTGCAGCCACCGGCCCGGACAGCTGTCATCACGGTGGGTGGTGGGTGACCGCTGAGTCTCTCTCTCTCCCTCTCTCTCTCTCCCCTTGTCAGGCGCCTGCTGCTACGTCATTTCCTCCGGAGTTGGCGTGTGTGCGTGCCACCTACAATATTCCCGTTACAGCTCACGTTTCTCTTTCCTACTCTCATTCACGAGAGACTACCACCCAAAGGACACTCACTACGGTGGGTTCCAGTCCAGCTCCGGTGGGCTGTCCATCCCCACCTGCACGTGCAAAGAGCCTCCCTGCTCTCCTGTGGGGCCGCTGGTGGCTTCGAACAGTCCACCTTTCAGTCAGCAGTCCCCGGGGCTCCCAATTCTCCTCCCCTGTTCCTAACGGTCATCACACTTTTACCTTTGTTCATGATCTCTGTCGCCCCCCAGGTCAGCTGTGATGCCCTCTCTCACTTTGCATTTTGGGTACCTGCCTCCTCCCTGTACCTTGCAGCTCTGCTCGGAGCGAGGGGATTCAGAAAGCCGGTGGGAAATGGAATCAAAAGCCCACGGAGTGTTTTACACGGAGGTTTTGAAGCGCCTTCATAACAAGGTGCCGGTTTTATTGATCTTTTCAAGAACCAACTGCTGGCTGTATCGCTTCTCCCGCGCTGTGTCATTCCTTCTGCTCTATCTTGGCCGCTGCCCGTCTCCTGGCAGGTTTAGTTCACACCTGCCTTGCTAGTTCCTGGACTGGCGGGGCCAGGCCGCTAATTTGAGTCTTCTTCTTCTTGTGTTAAATGCCGACAGTGCTTTACGTTCCCTCAGAGCGCTGCCTTTGCCGCGTCCTGTGGCTCTGTGACGTCGTGTTTTCATTCTCCTTGGACTCTGTGAAGTGTGTGATTTCTCCTTGGACTCACTGGTGGTCTAATAGTGTGCTATTTCATTTCCACATGCCTGTGATTTTTGTTGGTTTTGTTGTTTCCCCACCTTTGGCATTGGCCCTCGGTTGTAGCCAGAGAAAGTCCTTCGATGATGTCAGTGTTGGGAAACGTATCTGTGGCCTACAATGTATCCTGCCGTGGAGAAGGGCCCGTGTGTCCTGGAATGGGTGGTGCGTTGTGCTGGTCATGGGTGGAGGCTCCTGCCTGGCTGGCTCCAGTCTGGTGGGTTTATAGCACGACTCCCCGTGGACCTCTCTCTGGGTGTTGCGTGCATCCAGTAGTGATTGTGGCACATGGAAGTCCTCAGCCATCGCTGTCGCACGCTCTCCCTTCTCCGCGTGCTTGGTTTCCGTGTGTGGGTGTGCTCATGGTGGGCGTTCCTGTGTAGTTACGATGGTTAGCTTTTCCGATGCAGGGGTCCTTTCATTGCTACAGAAAGTCCGCCTTGTCTCGTGTGCACACTTCTGATCAGAAGATTGCCCCCGGCTCTCTTCCGGTTATTATTTGCATGGAGTAGTTTCCCCCTCTTCACTGGGAACCGCCTGTGTCCTCGGTGTGCCTGTGCAAGCCGGGCCTCTCGGCAGCGGCAAAGGGGTCTCCGGGAAGTTTGTGGGGAAATGGGATTAAAAGAGGACTTCTTGAAGCTCCCTCGTAATTGGAGCATATCTTTGAAAACATTGTTGTAATGGCATATCTAAATCACACGTCATCCAATTTGGTAGCGCGGTTACATTAAAAAGAGCTGTACAATCATCGCCGCAGTCTGTGCTCCGTGCCATCTTCCTTGTGCACAGTGCTCGCCTGCTGCTCTCTGCTCTGGGACGTAGCATTCAGCCCATTTCCACGCGCGGGGTCCCTGCTGGGAGGGGACTGTCTACCCTTGTCACGCGTGGGGCTGAGCTCCGTCTCTGCCTGCAGCACCGCCTGCCTGGGGGCTTTGCTGGGTCATCGAGTGTGTCTTTTGGGGGTCTTCCCCCTCCTCCTCGTCTGTGCACGAGTGTGTGTACCTGTATATGAGTGTGTTCAGTGGATGAGTGTGTATCTGTGTATATGAGTGTGTGCATCTGTGGATGTGTGTATATGTGAGTGGGCATATCTATGTGTGTATTTGTGTGGGTGTGCGTATCTGTGTATATGAGTGTGTGTGTATCTGTAGATGTGTGTATCTGTGTGTATGTGTATATGAGTGTGTGTATCTGTGTATATGAGTCTGTGTGTGCTCTATGAGTATGTATGTATCTGTGCATATCTGTGTATATATTTGGATATGTGTATCTGTGTGTATCTGAGTATATGAGTGTGTGTGTACCTGTGTGAGTGCGTATCTGTGTGTACCTGTGGATGTAAGCGTGTGTGTCTGTGTATATGACCGTGTGTGCATGTGCACGCCCTTATCCGTCTGCCCTTGACGACGAGCATGAACAGAGCCTGCACATGCCCTTTACGCGGTGTGTCTTGCTGCGTCCTGGGTGACACAGTGAATTGGGTTCTCCTGCGACAGTTTCCACACAGGTGTTCCGCACACTTGGCTTTCATGTCCTTGTGTCGAGAAGAAAACCTCCTCGCCCCAAATTGACATTGGACCCGACCGTGGCCATGTCTCAGCGCCCTCACTTAGGGAGCCCGCACCCCCACCCGCCTGGTGGGGAGCTCCCCCTCTGATTTTCCTCTGGAAGGTGGTGCGTGAGCGGCCAGGCGCAGGGCCGTGGGCCCTCCTGGGGCTCTGGCTCACATCCAGCTCCGTCAGCCTCAGCACCTGTCTCTCCCTCCGCAGGTCGACCCCGAGTTCACGAGGGACGCAAAGGCCAAGGTGCAGAGGTAAGGGGGGGCGCGGACAATGGAGCATGTGGAGCCACCCATCTCCCATTCTGGTTCATGTTCAGACACACACACTTCCCTCACCTGGTACCCCTCCCATGGTCCTGTCAGATCCAGGACCCACACCGACCCCCCTCACACCCAGGGGGGCAGACCCAGAGCTGCATCTCTGTAGGACAGAGCAGCACTGCCCTGGGGGCTTCCAGCCTCTGCTCTGTCCCAGGGAGCAGGTCGTGGACCCGAACCACTGACCTCTCAATCAGCATTCCCATGCGTACCCTGTCATGCCACCAGAGCTCCTCTGAGACAGGAGTGGCCCTTCCTCCATCTCGCCGACCAGGGAAGGGGCATGATGGCTAGGAGTGGCAGCCGGCATCCACGCTCACTGGTTAGCAGGCAGAGCCTGTTGACACTGTCCTGAGAGGACAATGGCCACCAGCTGTGCCCGGAGACCAAACACATTGAGGGTGTGGAGGAAGAAGGCCCGCTGCCCTCACCCATCACAGTGAGGGCAGCGGGGCAGTGGGAGGAACCCCTACTTGGAGACAAGCACACCCCAGGGTGCTGCCTGTGAATCCCCTTGTCCACCAGTTGCAGGGACGCTGGGGTGTTGGCAGCACATGAGAGTGCTCACCTCTGCTCAGAGAGCTGGTTCCTCACACACTGGCCCCAGCGTCTGTCTGTCTGTCCGTCTGTCCGGGGCCGTGTGGGGCGGGCGCCCGGTGCAGTACAGCCCCGTGGGGAAGCAGCAGCGTTCGGGCTTTCTGCGTCGTCAGCAGCAGCGTGGCACCCGCTAGGTCGTCCTCCAGAACCACCGGTCATCCACGCCCTTACATCCGGGCCTGGAACCACCCCGTGCTCCTGAGCACAGCCCCCGGCCCACTGCGCTGCCCTTTCCAGGAGCCCCGGGGTTCGGCTGGCCGGCGAGATGTCCCAGGCCGACCTGCACGCGGTGGTGAAGAACTGCTTTGCCGTGGTGAACAGCTCTGTCTCAGAAGGCATGTCAGCCGCCCTCCTGGAGGTAATGCTCCCCGCTCGCCCTGGGGGGCCCCTGAAAATCGCAGTCACCACCTCCCACGCTTCGGCTGATTGGTCGCCTGTCTCCAAGCTGAGGACGCTGCACGGGGCTTCCGTTAGGGCTGCGACACTGGTTTGTTCGTGCCCAGTGTGGAATGTGGGGAAGGGTGAGTGACCGCGTGGCTTTGCAAACAAGCTCACTGCCGTCCAGTGGGTTCCAGCTCCCAGCGGCCATAGGACAAAGTAGAGCTGCCGTGGGGTGTCTGAGGCGTACTCTTATGGGAGCAGATGGCCTCATCTTTGTCCTGCCAAGTGCCTGGGGGTTTGAACTGCCAGCCCGGCAGGTAGCTGCTCAGCAACGAACTCCCCGGGCCACCGTCCACCCACCGGCATCGGGTTGATCTTGACGCAGAGCAACCTGTGTCTAGGGTTCCCCAGGGGGTGACTGTACAGGAGCAGACAGCCTCGTCTTTCTCCTGGGGAGGGGCTGGTAGGTTCGAACCGCTGACTTCACGGCTAGCAGCCCAACACGTAACTCACGGAGCCGCCAGGGCTCCCTTTGTTTGTGCTGAAGTCCCCCGCGCCCTGGGTTCAGGTGAGAGGAAAGAGCCAGACTTCTCTGGGGATAAGGGGGGGGGGCGCGGGCAGATCTCGTCTCAGCTCCATATCACCGTCTGCAGCTGGCACGAGTCAGACCAGGGCCATCCCCCGGGCTGTAGGTGGCCATGTCTTTGGAAGCAGAGTGCCAGGCCTTTCTTTCAAGGCACCCCCACCCATGCGGAGGAGCCATCAGCACCCCAGGGCCTCCGTGTGGCCCTTTGCACCCAGGTCCTCCCTGGCTGCAGGGACTTGTCACTTCAGAGCGGGCACCCCCGGTGGTGCTCTCCTGCCCTCCGGTCCCTCCCTGTTTGCCAGCCGCGCTGGCTGGGTGTGCCCGGTGCCCTGGCACGCTGGAGATGAGGGAAGCAGGAAGGAGAAGGGACCCGGTCAGAGGTGATGCCTAGTCCTGTCTTTAAGGAGCAACGGTGGTGTGGTGGGAACACACTGGGCAGCCAACCGCGCAGTCAGCAGTTCAAAGCCACCCGCCGATCCAGGGGAGAAAGATGCAGCTCTCAATTCCCGTAAGGAGCTACCGTCTTAAAGACCCACCGGGCCGCTCCACCCTGTCCTGTGGAGTGGCTGTGAGCGGCGCTAACTCTATGCTTGGGGTTAATGTCTTTAATGCTGGTTTCCGTTAATCACACAAAGAGGAAGGAGGGCGGCACAGAGGCTTCAGCGGGCGGGCCCCCGCCTGCCCTCCCAGCCTTGCTCTTCCCCTCCGCTCTGAACACGCCCCGGCTCAGCCTGCCAGGGTCTATTCTCCACCGTCCGGGGAGAAAAGTGGAGGAGATTTGGGGAGCGATTCTGTAACGAGCACACACAGCACTGCACTGCAGATGAACGGCTGCTAAGCTTCGTTTACTTCAAAGGAAGGACAGCTGTGAGCAATTGTGACTGCACGCTCCTTCTATGGACGGCTGTGGAGGGGGGACTTGGTTCTCTAGAATTACCAGGATGTCCGTTTGCCAGCCTGTGCGGTGGTGGCAGACACCCCCGGGGGCCCTCTCAGGCGTCCAGAAGAGGACCGGCGGGGGTGGGGGGGCTGTAGCAGGAGGCAGGATGTCGGCATTTCCTAGCCTCCGTCTTTGGAGGGGGTTCTGTCTTCAGTGCCTGCTCCCTGGGCCCTTCCTTGGAGATGCTCATGGCTTGGACATGGGCTCCCCCCCACCCCCACCTTGCTCTCTGCGACACAAGAGATCCGCCCTACAGCAGGGACGACAGAAGGGGCTGTAAGAGTAGGCGCTACACTGTATCCCAGAGGACTTGGACTGAGGTACACACGTTTTTATTTGCCAGGGGAGGCAATCTTGTCTGTAGCAAGGTAGCCCTGTGCCCCACACCAGTCTGCCTCCAGCACCCGCGTGGGATACAGAGTCCAGGGTGACGAGGGGGAAGCATGTCCAGCCTCAGGCTGGACTGGGAGTGCAGGGAGTCTCGTCTGCCCACAGTGAACCAAGCAGGATGGAGGGGAGGGGACATGTTTTGTGGGGTTTGTTTCCTCAGCCCACGTCTGCCCGGCTCCCCCTCACCCTCAGGGTTTCCCCTGCAGGGCGGGCACTGCCTGCTCGTTGGCAAAGAATGGTCAGTGTCCTTGGTCTCGCAGCGACCGGCCCAAGGGACAGGGGTCCTTTCAGGGTTCTCAGGGGAGAGTCTCGGCTGGGCAGCTCGTGTACAGCCACCACCTGTCCGTCCCTGCCCTGTGTGACTGTCTTTCAGCCAGACAAGGCAGAAAGGCCTGGTGGTCCGCAACGGACCATAGGCGGGCGGCATCACCCACCGAGGCAAGGTGCTTGCGGACTTCTGGCCGTCAGACGCACCGAGTCATTCCTGTGGGTGGGAAACCCTTTGGGCTGTGAGGATGCAGAGGGCGGTGAGAAGGGGGTCAGAGTTGTAGAGGAGCCCGGCAGGCCTGTGCATCCCAGCACTCCCCCACATGCCCAGGGTGTGCCCTCAGAGACCCACGGCCACCAGCAGGCTGCCCCCCTTTCCTGGAAGCGTCCTTTCCCTGAGCGGAGAGCCGAAGGCTCGCAGGCAGCAGCGTGTGGTGTAACCGCTCTCTGGGGCGGCCCTCAGCTGTGGACGGAGAACAAGGCTGGAGGGGCACGCACCGGGCGCTAACCGCAAGGTCATCGGTTTGAAGCTGCAGCCGCTGCTGTGGAGAAAGACCCACAGGGCAGTTCCGCCCTGGGCGGTCGCTGTGAGTCGGCAGCCATTCGACCTGCTGGTGAGGGGAGAGGACAGAACTTCGTGGAGCGCGACCAGGGCCCTGGGCTGGGGCCTTGAAAACCAGCTAGGCTGAGGGCAGGTGTGCCAGATGTTGGGCTGAGGCTGCTGGAGGCCCCACAGGGGGTTCAAGGACTGTACCCGCCCACCACACACACAGGTGGATCTGGGAAAGGCTTCCTCGCTCTGCTGTAAGCAGGGTGCCAGGGGGTTCCCACCATGGCCGCCAGGTGCCCGGCACGCTCCCCACTGCCCCCCACCTCAGAGCTAAGTCAGATGCAGACTCGCCCTCACTTCCAAGGCAGCGGCGTGTGCCGCCAGCCGCGCAGACGCTGGCTTTCTAGAAGACGGGCTTGCTGTCATTCATTTTGAGGACAACACAGCCGCCGCCGCTGCTCCCATGGAAACGTCCCCTCTTTCAGAGCCATGCTCAGCTCCCCATGAGCCCAGCACTTCAGGCCACTAGCTGCTCCTGGATTTTCAGCCCGGGACATGGGAGGGGGCAGTTCTACCCTGTCCTAGGGGGCTGCTGGGTGCCGGGATCCACGGCTGGATGGGTGGTTGGGGTGGAACTAGACTCACCAGTTAGAGTTGGACCCTGTACCTGAGGCCCAAGGGTGGCACAGGGGGTCTGCCAAGTGTGGGCTCCTGACTGCCAGCTTGGGGGTTCCAAACCCCCATCACTCCTCAGGAGCTAGACTGCTCCCAGGATGGTGGGGTCTCGCCAGAGCTCCATTGAGGTGGCAGCCTTGGAAAGCCCGTGGGCCGTCCTGCTCAGGTCTTGAGGAGACAGGGGTGACCACACACCTTCTGTTGTTGGCTCTGTGCAGCCCCCTCCTCCGGGAGCCGATGCTGCTTCCTGGTGTGGAGTTGCTGTCGGCTGGTCCCCCGCAGGCGCAGGCGATGGGAGCAGGGGCCTGCTCAAGGCAGACGTGCTTGCTTGGGAAGCCACACTGGGCTCGGGTTTGAGCAGACTCGCGGTGACCCCAGCCAGCCGCTCCAGGAAGTCTAGGGTCCTCGGACTCTAAATCGGGTGCTGGGTCTCCCCTGTGGCGATCAGAACGGTCAGTGAACAGGAGCCGGGCACCATCCAGGCCTCTGGTCTCGGGCACAGGTGGCATTCCCTACATGCTTCATTTTGTCCTCCCTCTACTGCCACCTGGAGCTCACAGCAGCATCCCAGGTGCCAACAGGTGAGGCTGGTGCTCAGAAGACAGCCACACAGCTCTGAAGGAACCCTTGGGGGGGGTGCGGTGTCAGACACCGTAGTAACATCACAGGGTGCAGCCAGGATGCTGGGTACCGCCCTGTCGGGGAGCTGCCCTGGGCGTTGGTGAGGCGGTCATCCCTGTGTAGAAAGCTGCCTCCCTCGCTGGGGGCTCCTGGTGTTGACCTCAGCCCTTGAGGTGAAGCGCTCCACACAACCCAACTTTAAAAGACCCCTCACTGTGGTCTTGGTTCGGGTGAGAGGGGAGCTTGGTGCGTGTACGAGACGCAGACAGACCTGGTTCGAGCCCGGGTCATTCACGTGGAGCTTGAAGAGCAAGGCTGTGGGCACCCTGACCTGCTGCCTGTGTCCCATGCCCACTCTCCTGTGTGGGGCTACCTCAGCTCACCAGGCAGTGGGGAACGGGAACGTGGTGTGGGCTCTCGGGCTGGCGGGTCACTAGGGGCAGCTGGGTTTTTCCTTGGCATCTAGGTGTCCAGTGGCCTAAGGAGATCCTCCCCCTCAGGCCATGGACCTGGAGGTTCTCGTGATGGCCAGGAACATTCCGGGCAACGTGGCCGTGGTGAAGCATGAGCGTACCGGGCTGCTCTTCTCCGACCCCCAGGTGAGGATGGCAGCAGGGGGCTCCCGCACCAGGGTGCAACCATTGGGGGCCAGCTCCCACCTGGAAGGGGGAGAGGGAGTGTTATCAGGGAGACCAAGTGGGAAATCCCCCCAATGACTCCCTCCTCCATCCCCCGTCCCTCATGTAAAGGTGACCGGTGGGCAGTGTTGACTAGAGACACAGACCACTCTGGGAGAGGCCAGGCCCATGGGGCAGAGTCTATGGAAGCGGGCACCTGCAGCAGCTCGGGAGGGTGGAGGGGCAGAGCAGGGTCACCCCAGCACCTCTCCCCTGTGAGGGAGGTGCTCTCCTGGAGCCAGGGGTGGGCTGTGGCTTTCACACTACAGGGAGACAAGCGGCCCGTGCCAGAGCGAAGCTGTGCCGCTTGTTGTGAGTGGGGACCAGAGCCCGTCTCAGCCTGGGGAGCGGGGTGTCTGTGACCTGACCGCACAGGTGGGTGGGGGGATGTCAACCCACAGCTGCTCTTTCGTGAAGAGGGGCAGCTTTCTGTTCCCAGAGAGAGGGACGGGAAGGGTCAGATGCAGGGCTCTGACCCTCCCACCTGGGGGGCATCTTCTGCTTCCCCAGCCTTGTCTCTGCAGAGACATACCTGCTCAGCGCAGGAGGTCCGACAGAGGCCAGTGCCCCCTGGAGGCTGTCAGGCTTTGTGAATCTCTACCCTTTCCTGTTTGTCCCTCACAGCGACCACGGGGACAGGGTAGAACTGCCCCCGGGATTCTCAGCTGGAGGCTTTACAGGACAAGACGCTCCCCCCTCGGAGCAGCTGGGAAAGCAGAAGGCCCCTCCTGGTGGTGTCCGTAGTGGGGCCGGGGCCATCCAGCACAGGCACAGGGCTGTGTGTGTG